ATCTTAAAGACTGGCTGCTACTCTAGCCTTAGCTATTGTAGTGGCTTAAAGCCACAATCCTACCCTCAAGAATAATAACTCTCCTCTCAAGGATCAAATCCTGCAATGCTCAGTTCTTAATTAGGTATTGATTTCCATGAGAGATTGTCTTAAATAAGGATTACAGACTTTCTGAAATGATTTTAAAATATGATCCAAATAAATATTAAAATCTTCCAGGAAATGTACATTTAAAAAGAAACTTTTTGTTTCATTTTGTTCAACCAGTATCAACCATTATGACAAGCATATGAATGTGAAGGGAGAAAGAATGCTTACTTCTTGAGAGTATTGTTTCTAACACATGACCTAAGTTAGCCCTGTTGTGCTGCTAAAACAGTACCAGACATAGCAGCAGCTGTGGTCACCAGGAATTCTGAATGAAAGGTGTTCAATCTGCTTGTTACCCAGAGTGCTTTGCTATTTTTTTTCACATAAGTAATGTCATCCAAGATACAAGAACAGACAGAGAAGCCTGAATGTTATGGTGTTGGGTTTTTTGGGAGGGGAGGGTGGGGGATTTTGGGGTTTTTTTGCAAGTAGGGAGTTTTATTTGGTTTAATTCAGATTATATGAATTATTATTTAATTTGTTTGCTGTAAAAGCCAGAAAGAAATCTAGATGAAATCTCCTCCTAATTTAAAGGCAATATGCATGAAATGTATCCTGGAGCATATGATTTATTCAAATGTCATCAATGCTAACCTAAAGCTCAGTGGTAACAAACAGCCTATGACTGGTGTTAGAAAGAGAAAATTATTCAAAATAATGCCCAAGGAACAAACATTCAAAAATTCAATTAATTGCCAAAAAAAAGTCTCAAAATAATTTAAAAAAAAAGTCCTGTGATATATTATTTAAATAATCAGAATGCATATGAAAAGAAGGAATGAAATAGAATGGGCACGTCTTGAGTGACCTCCCAGACTAGGCCCGGGAACTTTGTAATGGGAAAAAGGATGGAACAGCCTGATCTCTGAATGTGTAGCTATAAAATACTCAAATATTTACAAAGCAAGCAATGAAACCTAAAGATTACCAGGAGACTTTTAATAAGCATAACTGTTCTGTTAATTGATGCCTTTTAGTTTAGAGGAGAGAAATATTTTGTTGTTGTTGTTTAAAAAAAAAATCCTTGATTAATTTTCAATAAGGATTGATTCTAATTTATGCACTTGAGGTCTTGATTCTCATTTACACTCAGGCCATTCTCCATGGCTGTGACAATGCAAAGAATCTCTAAGATGGCCGTAAGTTACATTTACATCTATTTTTATGATCTTTCACACTGTCAGGATAATGTAATGTAGCCTTAACATAACTGAGAACCAGGCTTCTAAATAAGAATACACCTTCTCAGCAAATGACATGGATTTTGGTTTACTCTTTCAAGTTTTTCTGGAGAGATTCCTCTGCTTGTTAGAAACCCTAATGACTTTTGGGGACTCTTCAAATGCAGAGTTCTTCCATAATGAACAGCTTGCAAATCACATGCTGATATTTCAAAACTAGATCTAATTTTAAAACACCAATCCCAGGCATGTCATAAAACCTCATTTTCTGGGCATGTTCATTGTCTTACTTTAGTGCTTGCATTAATGGACTGTGTAAATAAATTTAAGCAGAAAATGAAATAAAAGAAAGGCATTGGCTTTATTTAAAATCTGTTAAATGTTGAAAAAAGTAAGTATTTGCAATCAACTTTCATAATATCTTTTACCCAGTCTCATTATTATAGAATTTCTAATACACTTAGCACTAGTCTTGAGTTGCTTTAATAGACACAGCTTTCTGCCTAAGAAGGAAATATTTCTCTCTCCCTTCACAGCTGTCCTAAGAGTAATCACTTCTTGCTGGTTGTCTTCCAGGAGAATGTTGTCATCCCCTCTGTAGTTCAGTTAGGCTAAAAAATCTTCCCTGCGCAGAGGGCTGGGCTGTGGACTGTGCAGAAGGCCAGATACCAAATAAGTCCCATGTATGTCCTGCTTAGAATAAAGCTTTAAAAGAATTTAAGTGGTGCATCAGTCTCATACTGACCTGCTGCGCAGCAGTAAATTTCAACCTTACTGTGGAATATCAGCAGAAACATTTTGTATTGAGCAATAAAACTAACAAGATGAGCTCAGCTTGGTCATAAGGTGCAGGGGTGAGGAAGAGTTCTAAGGTTTACAGCCCTCGGCTGAGAACCACGTGCCACAAAATGCCCCCAAGTTTCACCCTGTGCTGTATAAGCTGTAGTATCCTTGATCACAACTGCCAAGGCAGGTTGTAAGGAGAAAAGAAATCACTGAGGTACCTCAGTCCCAAAGACCTGAAGATTAGGACCAGAACATGGACCTAAAGAAAGGAGCCAGGGATGGATCCAGCAGACATGTGGCAGTGTTGCTTCACACGTCTTCAGTTGTGCAGCACGTGCCCGGTGAGCTCTCTCAGCTCCCCAGCATCAGCATGTCAGTGTAGCTTCTGCTGGAGTCTCATATGCTATGAGCTCTGAGATCACCAGCTGACCAGTATGGGCTCTGGCTGCAGCCTCTTTTATCACCCCTTTTCCTTACTGCTAAATTTAGTTGTGGGGTGGGGCAACTGGAAGGGAGGCTGAATGGCAGTAATACTCACCTTCTTAGCTCCAGAGCAGTGCGAAAGCAGGAGCTTTGGCCAGAGCCTGCACCAACCAGCTGGTGAGCTCAGATCTCAACATATGCAGAGGTTGGTAAGAACTGCACTGACATGCTGGTGAGCTCAGAAGAGTTACCTGGCATTCAGAATCGAAACAAAGGGGTGTCATGGCTGCACCCCCCTGACCACTATCCTGGATCCTCCTATGAAGGAAGTCACTGTAAAAGACAGCATAAGGATTATCTGGGTTTTGGGGTTGGGTTTGGTCACCGTACTCAGTAGGCAAGTTGTTACATGTTTGGTAGTAGCTTGTTTAAAACATTTGTACACCATTTTCTTTTGCGCCCCATTAAAACATGTTATGTTAGTTTAGCTTGGCAACAATGAAAGCATGGAAGGTATTGGTCAGGTTTGCATCACAGAGGTAAGGGCACAGTCTACTATCTAGCTGAGGATGAGAAATGAAATCTGATGTTGTTATTTAAATGGCCAGCAACATGAGTTTAATAAGGGATGAACTGGCTTCTACCAGTTCATCAATGTACTTTGCTTTTTCTATGAACATTCTCTGCATCTTGTCCAGTTCTTGCCAACCTTAGCTTAGCTTGAACTGTTTTTGAACTTTATTCCAGTTTTCTTTAGGCACTGGATCACCTGGAAGATGACATTTGTCATGCTGGAAGAAAAGGAAATATACAATTGGGTGTTATCAACATTATAAAAATGAATTGCAAAGCATTTAAAAACTATTAATAACAGTTATAGAATTCTATAAATGGACATAACCACACATGGCAAGACATGACAATATTCACATGAGTAAGGTAAACAGGATATAGTCCTAGAAGAGGAAGAATGGAATTCATTAGTGTATAAGTGTGGTGAACAGAGAAGAGCTAGGTTTTCAGAAGAGATTTGAAAAGGGATAAAAGTTAGTGATGCACAAACATACAAGAGAAATTGTATTGCAGATAGCAGGACCTATTTAAAAAAAAGAAAAGTTCTTGCATCTGTATCAGGGGTGACAAAGCAGCAAGTATAAGATGAGCAAAAAAGAACCTAATAGCTTTTTTAAAATTAATATCCTTTTAATTTGTGACATTGTTCCTAGATTTAGCTGATTTCTGTAATGCCAGAAGCATATGAGTAATAAAAGCTGAACCCATGTCTTTACAGCACTGTTACAAAAGATTTTGTTAAAACAAAACAAAATCCATTAGCACAGGGGTGTCCAAGATATGGCCCAGGGGCCAGATCCGGCCCAGAGAGCCTATTGATTTGTCCCATGGGTCTAGGACTGATCCCCCTCCCCCTCCCCCCCCCACATGTGGCATATGCTGGCCCTTGTCCTATATACTGCATGCAGCATGAAGAGCTAGTCTAGTGTACACTGTATGCAGCACATGTGGCTGGAGCCAGTACCATTGGCACAGTATGCAGCACAGAGGACCAAAATGGGGAGCTTATTGCATGTAGCACCAATGCTGGACCTGCGCACCAGAGCCCACACTCCGGGCCAGTTCAGCATGGGTGTCACATGTACCCTATGTCAGCCCTGTGAGCCACATTCAGCATGGGCCCTAGACTAGGGTCGGAGCATGCTGCAAACAGTGTACAGCACTGGACTAGCTTTGCACTCTGCACATGGCACAGGAGGCTGATGCAGGGCCTATACTGGAGCCAGATGAGTTTGTCACCTCTGAGCTACCATTTTATATATATATATATATATATATATATATATATATAATATGCAAGATTGCATTAACAGATTGATAGAAACAAATTTTCTTCACAGTAAGGGTGGCCAAAATTTGGAATGGGCTTCCAAGGGAGGTGGTGCTCTCCCCTACCTTGGGGGTCTTTAAGAGAAGGCTGGCTAGGCATCTGGCTGGGGTTATCTGACCCCAGCACTTTTTCCTGCCTCTTTCCTGCCTAGACGGGGTTGGGCGTGATGATCTGTTGAGGTCCCCTCCAACCCTAGCATCTGTGAATCTATTAATCCATTACCTGTTAATACAGTCTTGCATATTTAATAACAATAACAAGAAATCATTTACATTCTTATGAAGCTGTACTGGCATACTTTGATTAAATGTGAAAACAAATTTGCAAAATTGCTTTTGACAAAAAAAAATCAGATTTTTGTGAATTATTAAATAACATTTAAAATGTTTTCAGTTTTATGCAAACCTTGAAGGAAGGAGTAAATGAATAATGAGGCAGGAAAGATGGCAAAAGATAAAAGCCAGGAACCACTGATGTAGCCTAAAAAAGGTCCAGAATTTGTTTGTTGACTTGTACTTATGCACTGTGATTATTTACTAGCATAGGTTCTTTTTAAGGATCTAAGGGCAGATGTGCTGATTTCAATGGAGCTATGTTCATTTACACCAACTAAGGATGTGCATCACAGAATTTCGGAGTCTCAGAATCCGTACATTACCGAGGACCCAGAGTGACTATGACTGAACACTCTTCTACTTCACCTCTGCTGAACGGGATTTTTTCTCCACAATTTTTCTGCTGACACCCCTGCCACTGATATCATCATCATGTTGCCATTGTCTGACTTCCCATACAGTTGCACTATAGCTGCTATGGAAGGTAAACTGTCAGAATTAACACCATGATCAGCTACTCATTGGAATATCCATAGGTTCAGCTGGATAATACTCAGTGGAAAATGATGAATCCTATCCTGATCTTTGTCCCCCTCAGCATTTCTGGGGGCCCAACACTACAGAGCTCTGGCACAGGAGTTTCTATCAGGTGCTGAATATGGAAGTGAGCAAAGCTGGAAATCCTCCTTCCACTGAAACTTGCTAGTTTTTACTCCTCTCCAGTCTCTGCAGCACATGATAAAATACTGCCCAACAGTCCATGTCATTTAGTCTCCCAGGGATAACGTAGAATTGTCCCCTGTAGTACTATATACCTGCTATTTCTCTGAATCTCTGGTTTGTAGGAGCTTGCTAGGACAAAAGCACTTTGGTGGTCAATAAACATGTATGGAGCCAAACCTCAACATTTATTTTCAATCGTCTTCTTAATTTGGCTATAAATTGCAGCTGCACGAAATTGGGAGAAACGGAGAGGGCCACATCAACACATTTTCCAAAGATTATTTCCCAGAATCATTCCATGTTAGATCATTTCCCCCAAACATAGGCTCACAATATCCAGAAGCACTTTCCAATATGTTCTGGAGCCCCTACTCCTAAACTGCATTATCCCAAAGGTGTCTAATTAGTGTCTAGTTGTCTCACTATTAGACTGTATGTTGCATTATTTACAATTCTGTCTGGTACACTGTCTTTGAAGTATTTACCTGGATACATGCCTAAGTAGAATCTGACTATGTAGCTCACAAGCAGAGAGGTGTGAGGTTTAATAAATCAAATTTTATTAAATAAAAATTCAAATTTAAAATATAGTTTTAAATGTACAGATCTCCCCAACAGGAACACACAGCAGCCAGCTTCCATCTGCAGAGAGACTTACCAGGCAAGCTGAACAATATCACTCCAGAAATTGCTATGGCTTGGCAATAATCTTAAGATTGGTAGGGAGGAATAGCAGAGATGTGAGACAAAGATAATAGGACAGTAAGGTAAACATTAGAATAGTAATGAGGAAGAAGGAGCTAATGACACACTGGGGACACACACCAGCATGTTACTCTGAAGTCTTGAGGATTCATATTCTGTTGTAAGTCACTGGATTGGAAATGTAGATAAAGTGCATCAGTGGAAGTTGTGGGTACCTAAATTAGAACCATGCATTTAATTGTGTGCATGACTGCAGTAGATGACTATATATTTGTACTATGCATGGCTCCTAATTGAGGCTGAAAAGGAAGCAGAGCTAACAGGGAAAATAATTACTAAAGAATTTACCAAATTTGCCTCTGAACATTGTAAATCCTAAATCCAGGAGAAGAAAAAAGTATGGTTCTTTATTGCTTGGATTTTTTTTTACCCCAACAATTTCTAAGACATGCTCTCCAGTCTTTTTCTCCTATTTCATACTCCTCCAAGTAGATGTTTACTGTCAGCCAAGCCCTTCTCTACTTATCCTCCCCTTTCCAGGCATAGTTTTCTGAAGGCAGAGCTTTCCTTGTTTGTCTGACAAGAGACTTTGGGCCTGACTCTCCACTCATCAGTCGTGCAGATTTATTTCATTTTCTTGGTTGATTATTTATGTAAGTCATCCAGTAACAACACGCATTTACAGTTTCAAATTAGAAAGCAGTAGTTGGACGTTGAAATCAGGAAAGATTGAAATAGAGATGAGGGAGAAATGTTTAGCAGCGAGGGTAATGAACAATTTGAACTGCTTGCCATGGAGTATGCCACATAACTTGGAGCTTTTAAATCAATACTAGATGATGCACAAGACTTCATTCATGCACAGGACAAGCTGATCCAAAAGCAGGGGTGCTCAACTTCCAGCCCATGGGCCAAATGTGGCCCATGGAGCTGCCTCATTTTGCCCAAAGAACTCTCCACAGGTCCAGAAATTTGACCGCAGGGGAGCAGTGGTCATTAATACAACCACCATTTCCCCTGCCAACTTCCTAGACCCTAAGGCCTGCACTCCATTTCTCTGCAGGGCTAGGCCATGCCCCTTCCTCCCACTTCTGGACTGAGGCTAAGTCACCCCCACTACCCTTCTACAGGGCTGGGTTGGGGACTGACGAAACCCCCTTCCTGCCTTTTCCCCTCTTCCCCTCCCCACCCCCCACAGGCTGGATTGGAGCTGGGCAATGCCCACTTCCCCCCCACCCAATCCCCCACAGGGTTGGGTCAAGTTCCTTTCCTCTGCAGGGCTATGTTGGGGTGGACCTGTTCCCTACCCTCTTCTGCCCAGCCAGATTGTGCCTGCAGCACCCACCCCAAGTGCCAGTTCAGGACCATCAGCTGGATCCAGCCCATGGAGGGACCAGGCACTGCCCCTCTGGCCCACAACAAAAAAAAGATTGAGCACTATTGCCCTAAAGTACCCCTCTAGCCTTAAAAGCTATAACATCCCTGTAGGCACATAAATTCAAGTGTAAAGCTGACAACGGAAAAATTGCACACAGACAGGTTAGCTACGCAATTCAGATTTCACATTAGCTGAGTATTCAAGCACAGAAATTTCAAATTCCCTTTTGTGAGTATTCTTTCTAATAAAACTGGTATAAGAACTAGAATATTGGCAAATAGAAACACAAAGGGGATGCGAACATAGCCAAAGCAAATTCACGTACAATGTGAACAAATATTTGAAGATTCTTATTTATTTATCGTGCATTCATCGTTAGGCTGGTTTAACCTGGAAGTTAACTGCTGAGCATTTGTAGCCCAATAGAAAAAGAGTCTTTTTCTGGGGAAAACAATTTAACCTTTTTCAGTTGAACTACATTTAGGTTTTGAGAACCTCTGAAGTCTGGAGTTTTTCTGAGGGACCTGTTTCTCTTCATGACTTTGTCTGGATGACTCATAGTGAACCTTGGTGTAATTCAAACACTTTAACAACAGAGCTAAAAGGGAGGGAAAATCTCTGCAAAATTTATTCTGCAGTGTAGCTTCCCCCAGGAATACAAGCCCCACCAAGATGGGCAGGGAACCATGGCCCAGTCCTTTGTAGGATCTGTTCTGAGACAGTTCATGTAAAACATTAGTTTGTGCTGGTGTTTCTCATGAAATATTAAGAAAATGTGTTAGCTTCTCAGTCCTGTCAATCACACTTTGGATAACTCAATGTCTATTCTTTGCTGCCTCCCTAAAAAAAAAACCACAACAACAAAATCTTTCTAGCATTTGATGCCAGCAGCAAACTTGTCAATATCCCCATGGACTAGGTGTGCCCTTTTCCTAGTTCCATATTCAGGAAGGCTAGGAGCAGAAGTTACTCATAAACTGGTCTAAATGATTAGAAACTGGCTTAAACCTGATGCAGAACAGAAGCTCACTGCACATAAACCACTTTCAAAATGTCTGAAACTGGTTTGAGATAAACCTGGCTGGATGTAGTATCAGACTTAATTGATTGAGGTCAAACTGGTTTATGGAACTTCTGTCCCAGACCTCTTCCTGGTTCAAGTTAACTATGCCCCTGCCAGACAGACCCTGACTGGAGCAGGGAGAGGGGTTTTAAACCCTCCTCCTTCCCCTCCTCCTCAGTGTGCCGGCCTGGGCCAGGGCCTGGCCACACACCCTCAGCTCCAGCAGGGTGGAGAGGAGAAGCCTGGAGGGCTTCTCTCCCAGCTTCCCTCCAGCCTTCTGGCCACTGCTGAAGGGAAGAGAAGGCTTGCTCTAGCACCCTCCCCCACCCCCTTCCCCAGCTTCTAGCCTGAACCACTACACGCATATGCCTGCATTTCCAGAATTAAAAGTGAATGTCTGTTCTGTTGCTTCTCTGTTCAATCTACATAGTTTAGACTAACCTGCCAAGATTTAATCAATTCAGCCTCAGGCTTTTTGAATGTCTGAACTTAGCCTGAGTGTAAGGAAGGGAAACCAAACATACATGTGTTAAAGAAAATAAAGAGCTGTCTTTCTGAGAAGGTGGGTGACAAATAAAAATCTTACAGTAAAAAACAAGCTTCTCTATCTCCATATCTGTGCAACAATAGGACATCTGCTTGTGAAACAAGTCCAGGTCATTTCTCATAATCTGGTGCTGTTATGCCTGATTCTTGCCAGTTATCTGTTTGACTGCTGGGTGAATGTAGGCAATTAAGCTATTGAATGTTCCTGCCATAGGGAGCCTGGCCATAAATGCTAGTTAAAACCCACTTTGTCCTCTGCTGTATCAGACAGAGATTGGGCCCACTTAGCCTTGGTGAAACACCACTGAAACCCTGTTGCTTTATATTTGGCCTCTCTTAGGCAATACATTTCAATGGCATTGCATATGCTTACACCAGGGTTTAATAGGTCTTACAGATGACTTTTTTCAGTTTTGGGCAGGATACAGTCACCCTAGTCACTGGGTTTGAAAAATTAAGAAGATGCCACACTTTTTTTCTCTGAGTCAGCACTGAAGCAATGTATCATCCTGGTGGTAGAGAAACCACTGAGATTATCCAGCCATACTTTTCAGGAGAGTAGGAGTGTTAAACCAAGAGAATTTGGAAATTGCATTTTGCCGACATAAAATTCTCTGTAGTTTCAAGTGAGTAAATCATTCCTCATTTTGCATCACAAATTATTATTCAATGTTTCTGTGACTCTAAATTTAAATCTCCGTCTAACCTCACTCACACGGGAAGTACAAATACCAGTATCCCAGCTGTCCCCTACATGTTTTTGGAAGTGATCAAAAAGACTGCTATTTCTGTCCCATGGCAGGGGAAGCAGAATCTAGATCCTAGTTTGAATCAATCTGTAACATTTCTTGGGTTCTTGGAGTTCTGCAGATGAAGATTCTGTAGGCATGTATGTATGTTAATGTAGCACATACTCTCGCACATTATTTATCTATCCATCTACCGTCCCCTACCCGCCTTCATGCATACGCAAGGACCTCAACAGCCACTTAATTGGAAGTTCCACTTCTCAGGCCCTCAAACTGCATATTAGGATTGTTAAAATTATCCAATAAGGTTTTTTTTCTGTAACCATGAGGAAATTTCATGGCATAGCAATGATTTGCCCTTGTGTAAGTGGAACTTACAGATGAAAAAGGAGCATCGCTTCTTTGTCTTTGATTTTTTTCATCTTTCCTGTCTGTTATCTCCATTTTTCACAAGTTTCTTACACAAGTAACAAGAGCTTGACCAATTTGTAGCAGCATAACTGTGTCCAGTGTCCATGCTCTCTGCATTGTGACTGTTGGTTCAGGGCCACAAGCAAATAAGGAGGTGTCATTCCACAGCTGTCCTTTTTTGGCAATCAGGCAATTATGTCCTAAGTGACATGATTAAATTTACTATGCAAGCTAACTGAAAAAAAAGCTGAACAATTGCAACAGCTTTTGAGATAAGATTTTCATATTAATGTTTTTCTATGTGCCAGAATACCAAACTTATTGTGGTGGAGCAAGTCAGTGGCAGTAATCAGTAAGTGTTGACAGCTATTTATGTTAGGTCCTTTTGAATTTGTAAACAGAACTTGACAAAACTAAAGCAAATGTCAAGAGGTTATTTTACACTCTGTTGCACTACATAATGTGATACGAAGACATTTCAGAAAGATTTAATATAGCTGGGGAAAAACACAGTCATTTGTGGGACAAAAAGCCAGATCATATTGGGGAAACATGAAA